ACGAAGGCGTCGAGCACACAGCCCGCGATGCACTGCAGCACCACGGCGGCCACCGCGGCCGGACACTCCTCGGTGACGCTGCGTACCCCGTAGCCTATGGACGTCTGCGTCTCCAGCGCGAAGAGGAAGGCAGCCAGGAAGCTGGCCACCTGTGAGAAACAGGGCGCCGGGGGCGGCGGGGCGGCCAGGTCGCCGTGCAGTGAAGCGATGAGCCAGAAGGTCAGGCCGAAGAGCAGCCAGGAGGCGAGGAAGGAACAGGAGAAGAGCAGGCACATCCAGCGCCAGCGCACGTCCACACATGTGGTGAACAGGTCGCTCAGGTAGCGCGCACCCTGGCCACCCAGGTTCACGAAGCGCACATTGCAGTGCCCGTCTTTCTTGACGAAGCGCCCGCGGCGCCGGCTCCCAGCCACCGGCCCGGGCGCCCACCCATTGCGGCACAGCCCGGCCCCTGCCTCCTCCTCATCGCCAGCCCGACCGGCTCCTGACTCCAGCGCGCCGCTCAGGCGGCGCAGGGCCCTGGCCAGGCCCATTGGGCGGGGAGACCCCCCTCTACTTGGCCTAGCGGGGGGCGGGCGCCCCAAACCTGTAGGAACAAAAGATGGGCAGGAACGTCAGGGGTACCAGGAACTAGAGGACCCACCAGCCAAGACACCGGCTCCATCTACTGCGTGGGCCAGTACTTAGGGGACAACTTTTAAGAATAGCCTGCCATCGGCCGGGCGGCGGTGGTGCACGCCTTTAATCCCAGTACTCGGGAGGTAGAGCCAGGAGGATCTCTGTGAGTTCAAGGCCAGCCTGGTCTACAGAGTGAGATCCAGGACAGGCACCAAAACTACATAGAGAAACCCTGTCTCGAAAAACCAAAAAAAAAAAAAAAAAAAAAAGAATATCCTGCCATATGAAACTTGGGGATAGCTGCAATTGTAGCAGAGGGTTTCTAGTCAGTGTAATGCTGTTATGAAGAACGCCAAATTGGTGGCTCAGACTGCTGTAAGCATTGTACATGAACTTACACTTTCGCGGTTTCTGTTTTTCAGATGGTACTGGTGTGGAACTCCTGAATACTAGGCAGTGCTCCAGCACTGAGCCGTGTATTCCCCTAGCCCCTTACTGGTAGGGGGTAGTCAAGTGCTCCAGCACTGAGCTGGGTCCGCCCCTAGCACCAGGAACAGAGTTCTGAGATAAACCATGTCATTTTACAGATACAGCCTGCCATCGACCACAGCTGCTCACTTCAGCACCGGGCCCTTGGTGATCACCAAGACCACGCGTCGTCGGGAGAGAAAGAAGCCCCAGACGTGGTGTGCAATGTACATACTGCAATTCCAGCACTCAGGAGGCTGGTGTAGAAGCATGGAGAATTTGAGGCCAGCTTGAGCTACGAAAGGCCCTGACTCAGACAAGTAACAAGGATTCTACCTGGCAGAAAAAAGGAATGAGGGACCAACATCAACCATATGAATCATTTCTTTGTTGAGGCTACCTTATGAGCTCAAGAGATCTCTGCATCTCAGTCCCTAGAGCAGGTGGGAACACAGGCCATGCCAAGCATGGATGTACCTCAAAAACATTTTAAGTGTGAGCCGCCAATTCAGTATTCTTTAGTTCCCTTTATCTACATCATCTGTACTCACTGAACTCAGTCAAACGCAGACCTTTTCACACATCAGTATTCCCTGAACAATACTGTAAAGCTACATAGCATTGCATTGTTCCGTATTACAATCTGGAGATGTTTGTTTTTGAGACAAAGTTTTCATAGCCTAGACTGGCCTAGAACCAGTCCTCCTGCCTCCACCTCCTGAGTGCAAGGATCACAGGCCTAAAGCACTACTCAGATATGGAGGTGACTCTAAGCACATGGGATGGTATGTGGGTGTTACCTCCATCTGAGAAAAGGGTAGGCTGGGAAAGGATGTAGGGTTTCTTTCTAGAGTTATAAAAAATGTCCTAGCGCTGCCAGAATGATAGCCGCTTAACTGTGACACACTAACAACCACTGGCTGGGTAAGGTTGGGGCTCAGCTGCAGAACACATATGTTCCATGCCTCAGGCCCCGGGTTTTCAGGCTGCAGCACTCCTTTAACAAAACATCATATACACTGATGAGTGAATGAATTATTTTCAAATGAAGCTACTAATAAGCAGGTTCAGCCCTCACCAGGTGATCTGAGGCCATTCCTACTGGGCCTCAGTTTCCTTAACAAGGATGGGGATATCATCCCAGTAAGGAAGTACCTTCTAGTCATAAAGACCCAGGGCCTGCTGGTCATTGTAGAGGAAGGTGGATCTCTGTGAGTTCCAGGCCAGCCTACATAGCAAGACCTTGTCAAAAAACAAACAAAAAAAGACTCAAGGCCTGATCTGGTTTAGACTGTAGCCTAGGGTTCCTTTTCAAGAGTTTTGATTTGCTCATTTGAGGGATGGAGATCAACCCTGAAAGGTAGGGTATCTGGAAGTCCGTGGGCAGCTCTAGGCTGAATTCTGACCTGGACATATCAGTTCTGACAGTGGGTATAGTGGGTGTTTCATGGACCTTCCTGAGCCTCAGAGGACAGGTCTGGGCCTTCAGCCTCACCTCCAGCTGCTACAGGGCTGATTTGGTCCAAGCGTTACCAGTTCAATCTATGACTTTCTACCCCTGTACGCACACTAGACTCTATGGAACCACATGGGCTTTGGTGGGAGGACCTGAGTGTTCTAAGTAAGAAGGCTGTGTGAAGTTTGGCACTTATGGCCCAAGAGTACCATGCACCTCTTTCTTGGTCTCCATGGCATCCAGAAAGTCCAGCAGGGGTCACTAGGCCCCCTGATGGGTGCAAACCTGAGGCTCAGGGCTGAGTGGATGGAGCTAGACTGAGTCAGCACAGCAGCCCTGAATGTTGAAGGTCATTCTCGGGACTGGAAGCAGGCTAGTCTCTCAAGAGCAGGTTACAGTTGGAATGTGGAAAGTAACGAGCATCATGAGCAGCCTCTGTGGCAGGATTCCTACTTTGCAATAATTTCCAAGAGCTAACCAGGGAGAGAGGGAGGTGGAATCAGCCAACCTCAAGTGCCTCAGCTGGAGAGAGAGGTGGCAAGCTCAGACACCAATGAGGCCTTGGTTGCTGAGCCCGTGAGACCGCAGCTGCTTCAGTGCTGGTGTGGACAGGCCATGTGTATATGGAGGACCCGAAGCTGCCGTGGTACCTACTCCCTCCAGGGTTCACCTTTGATTGTTCAGGGTAGCAGGGGCCAAGAACTTCACCTCATCTCAATCTGGGGCTCCTATGCTAGGGTGGGAAGCTGGCTTGGGTCCCAAACCTTTGACCCTCACTCTGCCACTGCCCTGAGGTACACTTGTATCCACCCTGTATTGGGTGGGACTTTCACCTTCAGGGAGTCGTCTGCATCCCACAGCCCAGCACTAGGCTGCTCCACAGAAGATGGGGGAAGGATACTGACCCACACTCCCCCCGCCCCCACCTTCCACCTGACCCACAAGAGCAGCTTAATGTTTCCATATAAAGGAGCCACAGGGCTTAAGGTACTTCAACTTCACGTCAAAGTCACAATATAATCTGAAGCCAACAACCCCGCCCCTCCCATTCACACAGGGTGGCACCCCTACCCCTGCCCCCACCAAGTAATGGGGACAGAGGGTACTGAGAAAGCCCCAACGGAGGCCACTGACCAAGCAGAACACGAACTTCTGTCCTTTCCTAGTCTCCAGGGCAGCTAGACAACCCAGCCATACTGGGGTCACTAGGCCCAAAGAAGATGCAAAGTCACAGTGGCGTGAGCTGGGGGGCAGAGACCGACTCAGAGAGACAGGGACATAGAGAGAGGGACAGAGACCCAGAGAAACAGGAGGTCACAGTGGCGTGAGCTGGGGGGCAGAGAGGCAAAGGGGGTGGGGGCAGAGATGGACTCAGAGAAAGAGACCTAGAGAGAGGGACAGAGACCCAGAGAGAGACAGACAGACAGACACAGAAAGAGAGAGGGACAAGAGACCGAAGAGCCCTAGAGAGAGTCAGAGACCCAGAGAAACAGGAGGTCACAGTGGCGTGAGCTGGGGGGACAGATACCCAAAGGGGCTGGGGGCAGAGATGGACTCAGAAAAACAAAGAGATGGAGAGAGAGACAGAGACCTGGAGAGAGACAGACAGACAAAGAACTTGGGGTGGGGACAGGCGACAGGACTCAGAGAGGTCAGTAGACAAGTCGGCTGAGGGAGAATTAGAAGAGGAATGAAGTAAATGTCTTATGAAATGGAGACGGATAGGGAGAGTGAGGGGATGCCTCTTAAAGGGATAATGGGATAGTGAGAAAACTCATCGTCAGTATTGACCAGAGCTGGAAGCCAGGAACTGGGGGTGCTAGTGGGGGGTAACTACCGGCTGGAACACCAGGGAAGGTGTTGGGGACAGAGGGAGGATGAGGTAGGTTGGCTCATATCTGCACTTACCTGGGGGGGCCGCCCACCCCCATGCCCTGCACTGGGGGTTCCTCTGCCCAGGCTGGAGAGGGGCCTCTGTGGTTGCTAATGTGTTCAGGTCTGTCCTCGGCCCCTGGGGCCTGAGCTGGGGCACTCAACCTCTGAGCTACAGCGGATCAGGGCCTGAACAGAGGGGGGTGGGGGTGGAGCCGGCTCAGCACTGCAGAGGGGGAGCCAGGGAGGCTGGCCAGGCAGGGCACTGGGCTGCGGCCCAGGCAGACTGGAGAGGACAGTGCAGATAATGGGTGGGAGGCAGGGAGGGACACTGGGGATCAGAAACGTGGAAAACAGTCATAGGAAGGGCACTGACAGCTTCGTGAACTTAGAAGGAAATACCGAGGTAATAATAAAGGGGAGAAAAATGGGGGTTCCCATTTCCCCCAGGATGATGCCTTAATAAACTGGTGGTCCAAAAAGAGACACTCATTTACTGACTCAGAGCCAGTTCCAAATGGAGTAAGGTTTAGAAAAGGCTGAGCCAGACAAAAAGGAAGAACCCACACAGGGTGACAGAGTCCAGTGCAGGGATAGCTCCACACCTCAAAGGATTGGGGTCCTTTACTGCAGCAGAAGCCCCAGACCCCCCTCCAGTACAACAGTGGTCAGCACAGGGAGGGAACCAACATAGTCCCAATCTTGGATCTCAGGTGGACCTAGCTGCCCAGAAGGCAAGGAGAGAACTAAATTCCACTGGAGCAACCCAGACCCAGACTCGGCCCAGCATGGCAAAATCCTTCAAGTTCCTGGAGTCGATCACCAGCCAGAACTGGGTACTGGGTCAGAGGTCTAGGGGTCAAGCCAGGAGTCAACACCGACAGAAATCTCACACTGAGACCGTATCCGGGACAGGCAAGGGTCAATGCACATGCAGACACCAGGTCTGTGGACTCCATTTCTTCTGTTCCACATGGGCCAGTTGAGCACGTCTTTCTTTCTGGAGTGCAGTCTACAGACCTATCGATCCAGTTCCCACGAAGAGCTGAGGCCTGAGGCCAAATGTTGGCCATCTTAGACGCTGATGGTGCGGAAGACAGTGAAGCCTGACAGCGCGGTGCTGATCAGGACCCCAGGGCACTGAGGATGCCAGTGTAGCTCCTTCAGATCAGTCTCACCCTGGTGCACGAACAGCAACTGCTGGGGGAGTGCTGCCAGGCCAGGGTCTGCTTCTGCCTCCCCTGCCTCCGGGTCCCGTTCAACTGCCAGGTCCCACTGTGTGATCTGGTTGTCAGCACCCGAGGCTGCAAAGACCCCACCGTCCTGAGGGTGCCACTCGACAGAGGTCACAGGGGCCATGTGCTGCTTGAAGGTGGCCACAGGGGAGCCAGACTACGAGAGAGTGTAGGAGTCAGACCCTAGTATGAGTACTTGGCACTCAGCCAGAGTCCAGCAACGAGCACAGGGAAGGACAACAGGTAAGAAGACGTATGTGTGCTCCATGGGGGGCTGGGAGTGAGCTTTCTCCTGCAAATCAGCCTCCTAACAAGGTGACAGGAGCCTGCCCCTGCATGTCCCTGAACAGACCTCAGCATCCCTTTCCCATAAAAAGAGCAGAGGGTGGCTGTTCTTTAAGGCTGAGGCCTTAACAGGACAGAAACAGCTCCCTTAGGTCCCTGGCGCAATCAAAGACAGCACTTGTGTTGGAGTAAGTGGTACCAGGAACAGGAGTCCCTGGGCCATTTGGCATGGAGGGTTGCAGCTCCCTCTGGAAGCTTCCCCAAGGATGATTCCACAGAACTGATTAAGCTGGGCAGAGGCTGACGGCATGATGATGCAGGGAAGGCCTGAAGCCAGGAGAGGTCCTGGCTTCCTCTAGAGACTGGGAGTGCCTCTTCCGCCTGCCTAGAAGACAACTCTACAGACAACTCTTAGCTCAGCTGTGATGTCACCTCTGCTCCTGTTCTGTGCCTCAGTTTCCTTTCCTACAAGAAACGAATGGGGCTCAAATTCCCAGCTGATGCCGTATAGTCCACTAAAACAGAGGACAATTCCCAGCATCCCAAGGCCACGGGCTATCTAGCCAGCTGTCTCTCTGCCACACGGGCAAGCGAGTTACAGTCTCTGTGCTGCCCAGTTGGTGTGGGAGCAAAAGACTGGGGACCTACCTCCTGACACACAGTGAGAACCAAGACTGGGGACCTACCTCCTGACACACAGTGAGAACCAAGACTGGGGACCTACCTCCTGACACAGAGTGAGAACCAAGACTGGGGACCTACCTCCTCACACAGTGAGAACCAAGACTGGGGACCTACCTCCTGACAGAACCAAGACTGGGGACCTACCTCCTGACAGTGAGAACCAAGACTGGGGACCTACCTCCTCACACACAGTGAGAACCAAGACTGGGGACCTACCTCCTCACACAGTGAGAACCAAGACTGGGGACCTACCTCCTAACAGTGAGAACCAAGACTGGGGACCTACCTCCTAACAGTGAGAACCAAGACTGGGGACCTACCTCCTCACACAGTGAGAACCAAGACTGGGGACATACCTCCTAACAGTGAGAACCAAGACTGGGGACCTACCTCCTAACTGTGAGAACCAAGACTGGGGACCTACCTCCTCACACACAGTGAGAAAGCAGGCAGGACCAAAGGTGAAGGGGAGACAGGTGGACGGGGTGCCTCAAGAGTCACAGTAAGAGAGACAGGGAAGCAGGGAGGGATGTGCAGGGTTGAATGAGGGATCCCTCTGCTCATAACCACATCCTGCTGTTCCTGCCTCCTCACCAGGATTTAATTCCCAGTAGCTTCCCTTAGGAGCCCAGCTGGGAAGATACCTTGAACTGTCGTAGGTCCCAGACTTTGAGGGCTCCATCATCCCCACCGCTGAGCAAGAAGGGTTCCCTGTGGCTCCAGTGGATGACATTGACATCCCCATCGTGGGCAGTGGCTGTGGTGAGCATGCAGGCCTTGCCTGGGGCTGCTCGGATGTCCCAGATGCGAATGGAGGCGTCAGCTGAGCAGGAGGCGAACACCTGAGAGGGTGAACCAAGTCTGAGTGAGAAGATGAGACCCAAAGACCATGGTACACTGTCATTCGATGTCCCCGTGTCTGAATCAGGCCCCAGCTTGGGCCCCTCCTCTCCCAAACCAAGGGTTCAGTTTCCTAGCCTGTCCCCACCAGACCCACGTGTCCAGGCCTTCAGTCTTTCCTCACCGTGTCCTCAGTTGGTGACCACTGCAGATCTTCCACTGAGCGTGTATGGCCCAAAAATGGCCTCTGGTCCACATGCCAGGAGCCACCGTCCGTGGGCGTCCAGAGGTGGATGTTCTTCTGACAGTCACCAGTCACCAAACGGCCTGAGTAAGGGTTAGGAAATCACCTTACCCACCTGGCCACCTTCCTGCCTTTCCAGGAGTCCTACTGCCCACCCTCCCTGAACCACAAGAAAATCCAAACTCACCAGGTACTCGAGGGGACCAGTCAAGAGCAAAGCCCTCACCCATGTGGCCAGCAAAGGAGAAGATGGGCTTTACGCGGGCCTGCTCCTCCCGGAGGAAAACGGCCAGGGCCTGGGGGTCATCTACCACCTGTAGGAGCCGCCTCAGTGCAAACACCTCCACCTGGCCCTTCTCTGACCATACTCCAGCCACAGGTTCCTCCCCCAGCCAGGATACCTGCCGAGGGGGTGCACAAAACAAAGACAGAAGCCTAAAGTTGGCCAGCAGACCCCCAGAATCATAACCTCTGCATGTCTACAAACTGGAGTCCCACACAGCTTTGTGGAAAGAAACTGCAACCTCCAAGGCCAGATGGTGACAGGTCCTCCTGGCGCTGGGAGGACCAGTCAGGAGTGAGGATGAAGCCTCACGCCCCCACTGGTTCTAGAGTATGCTCTCTGAAACACTGTGTGCTAAAGGGCTCCAGGGCTTGGGCCTCACGACCGCTCACCTCTATACCCACTACCAGCTCCTCAGCCTGCCCTATTAGCACAGGCAGCGCATTCCTCAGTGATCTCCACTGTGCCGGCTAGTTTAGGTCAGCTCGGCATAAACTAGAGTCATCTGAGAGAAGGGAGCTTCACTGAGAAAATGCCTCTATAAGAGGGGGTTGCAGGCAGGAGGGCATTTACTTAATGAGTGATTGATGTGGGCAGGTGGTCCTGGGTTCTGTAAGAAAGCAGGCTGGCCAGGCGGCGGCGGCACACACCTTTAATCCAGCACTTGGGAGGCAGTCACAAGCAGATCTCTGAGTACAAGGTCAACCTGGTCTACAGAGTGAGTACCAAGACAGCCAAAACTATGCATAGAAACCCTGTCTCAAGCAAAACAAAACAGAAGAAAACAAACAAACCAAATAAATAAATAAATAAAAAGAGAGAGAAAGCAAGCAAGCAAGCAGGCTGAGCAAGCCATGATGAGCAAGCCAGTAAGCAGCACCCCTGCATAGCTTCTGCATCAGCTCCTGCCTCCAGGTTGATGATTTGTTTGAGTTCCTGTCCTGACTTCCTTCAGTGATGAAGAGTGATGTGGAAGTGTAAGTCAAATAAACTCTTTCCTGCCCAAGTTGCTTTGGGATGTGGTGTTTCCTCACAGCAATAGTACCCTAACATTCACCTTGGGCCCAAACATTGAGACCCATGTTTGACTGTGTGTCAACACCTCACACCCAACACCTAAACTGAAGCACCCTTCCAAATCCTTCTAATCATCTGTACTGTGGTCACACAAGTCTATACTGACGCCATCCTTCCCATGGGTTGCCCCTTTCAGAATCAAACATGTTTGGCTCCCTACAGCCACGTCTCTGCGCTGAAGCCAGAGGGATTCTCTTCCAACAAGTCCCAAATGGATCTTTCCTCCACTTTCCGTCCTCCACTTGTTCCTAACTTCTCCTGAGGGAGAAGCCCAAGTCCTCACACAAGGCCAGAACAACGGGTCTTCTGGGTGCTCCCCTCCACATCTTGTCATCGCCTCTGTCCACCCTGCTCCACACACACCGCTTTCTCCACTTCTCCGAACTTCAGAACTTGCTGGGTCTCTGTCCCAAGAGCACCTGCTGACCAAATCCTCCTCAAATGGCACCACTACAAAAGCCACTCCGGCCTAGGAACACACTTCCCTACTTTCCGTTTTTCTCCACCACACTCAGCATCTTGTAACAAACTACATATTGACGAGTTTCTTCTTGTTCTGTCCCTCACTAGTATGTTAACAGAGTCAGAGCTTTCTGCCTCCAGGCTCAGGATCCTGGGATTAGGACAGTACCTGAGGCATAATAATAATTTAACAGAAACAACACACCCAGCTGTGGGTCAAGTTTTGGGTCTAAGTGTTCATTGTACATCATCTCCTTTTATTTGCTCATCGACCTGATCAGAAGAAGATGCTTTATTCATTGAACCTAGGCCCTTACACACTCGAGGTGAGCACTCTACCACTGAGTTACCTTTGAACTCATTCTGTAGCTTAGGCTGGCTTTTGGTCCTTCTGCCTCAGGTCCTACACAATAGCTAAGTAAAATTCTTACATTTCACACTATAACCAGGTGCTGTTTCAGCTCTTACACACTGTTTAGTTCCTCACCGGTCCTACCTGGTAAGCTTCATAATTCTCAGCATTTTGCCTAAGGGGAAATTGAGCGATGATGATGATGATGATGATGATGATGATGATAACGATGACGACGATAGCAATAAGCAAAAAACCACTATAGTCTAAAACATTACCTCGTATATAACAACCATTATTCCCCCAAAGATAAAGAAAACAACAACAACAAAGAAAAAAAAACTATGCACCAATAAATCTGTAAAAGCTGAAGGGAACTGGGTGTGGTGGTTCACGCCCGTTCTCTCAATCATTAGAAGCTGAGGCAGGGAAACCATCCTGAGTTTGGAGTCACCCTGGGCTACCCAGTGAGAATATGTCTGAAGAAGAAAAAAGAAAAAACTGAGGGGCAGGAGGAGGTACTGAGGGACATTTGAATGTTGGGGAAGGGGTATGCTGCACAAGCCCCTGGGACGGCAAGTACCCTAACTCGGTTGATGCCACCATAGTGGGGAACCATGGCCAGGTCAAGTTGAGGTTTCCGCTCCTCTTCATCCTCTTCATCCTCCTCCTCTTCATCATCACTGCCCTCTGAGGGTGGCGGCCTCGTCCCATGGAGATTATGCATTCGAAGCATCATCAGTCTGGGGAAGCAAAGGATGAATTAGGAACTGAATGCCAGGATGTTTAGAGCGGAAGGAGGCTGAGGACCCAGACTTCTAGGTCTGGCAGACGCAGATAGTCCTAACTCTTGGGTCCTTGAGGATGTCTTGAAAAAAGTATGAATCTCGAGCTAAGCGGTGGTGGCACACGCCTTTAATCCTAGCACTCGGGAGGCAGAGCCAGGCAGATCTCTGTGAGTTCGAGGCCAGCCTGGTCTACAGAGCGAGATCCAGGACAGGCACCAAAACTACAGAGAAACCTTGTCTCGAAAAACAAAAAACAAAACAAAACAAAGTATGAATCTCACCTATTGCTCTGGGCGCTCTCAGCCTGGGTTCCCGCACACAGGAAAAGAGTGAGAGGGAGCTCTGTTCGGTTGTCGCCCAGGTGATCTCGGACTATGTCAAAGCTGAGACAAGGGGCGCCTGGGGAGGGAGGGAAGATGGTACAGTCGCAGTGAGGATGAGACATTGGAACTCCGCTTCCACCTCCAACAACGGCCAGCAGTCCGCAAGGGGATGTCAAAACCCTCAGACTCCAGATCCCTCGTCCCCCAGGCTCCAAGTCAGGAACTTCATTTCCCGGGACCCAAGAATCAGGGCCCTCAGCCTACCAGTTTGCGCACGATGGTACAGCACGTAGGCCTCCTCATCCATTACCAGCTCCTCCCCTTCTCCCAGTGGCGGCCCCTTGCCAGGCAGGTAGACCTGGGGTGGGCTTTCGGATCCTGGGTCGCAGGATTCAGCCTCCATGGGTTCCCCAGTTTCACATGTGCGCTTCCGACCCTTGCGCGCCGCCATCTTCGAAGCTTCTTGTCCCGGACGCGAAGTAAGAGCGTCACTTCCGGTTTTCGCTTCCCACAGTCTAGGACCCACTGCACTGTTACATGAGAAACCTGAGGGCTAGAAATAAGTAGTGGTGCGCTGAGAGATGGCCGCCCCAACTAACGGTGTCTGGCTCAGTGACAAAAGATAAATTAACAGCGATCCTGTCTTTTGTGTGACCTTGGAGAGTTCTTCCGTGCAACAGTGGCAAGGCCTTCTGGGAGTTGTAGTTCTACAGGAGTCCTTGAATTCCGAGCCCCTCTCCATCTTCCACCTTTCATTCCTGGGGATGTCTTTCCACTTAGTTAATTATTCATGTATGCAAACAAGCACTTACTGGCAAAGAGACTGGGCTTCTGTTCCCCGAGGACCTATAAGGCCGGTTTCTTCTCCTCTCCTTGTTATGATGGCTTTAAATTGTTTCAAAATGCTTTCGAGTAGACAGGCTGGACATTATGTATAAGTTAGTGGATTGAATCTATCCTCTAGGGGCAGTCCATTTCCCAGCCAGGCATTCCCATGGCAGCTCTGGTCAGCAGGCACTTAATCAGAAAGTCTCTCTTGAGGCCGCTGCTACGACTGTGTCAGCTCTCTATCCACCCATGTGCACCCGAGTTTTGGTTAATTGGAATAATGAAATGTTGGAAATAGGTTCTCACTGGGGAGATTAAGGGTATTCAAGACGTGGGTTGGCCGCTTTCTTCATTTACATAAGATAACCAATCAAACCATTCTTGCCAGTAGCCTTAGGAACAGGACTCCAGATTTGGCCCTAATTTTTGCATCCCTTATTTTTACCACTACTCTTAGGGTATGTCTCTTCCCTGCCCCCTCTCCACCTCTCTTTCCTCGGTCTCTTGCCACTCCCTGGGTTTTTATGGTGCCTTCCCCCACCTCCTGTTTTCTAGGACTTGGGGTGGAACTCAGGGCGCTATGAATGCTAGAACACTCTGCCACTGTTACACCAGCAGCCGTTTCTGTTGTCTGTTTTCCCCACGGACTTTTCTCAGGTTCCATTTTCTCCAGAGAAGCTGAAGGGGCCTAAGAGACAGACATAGAGCTCAGGCTTGGACTGAGGAGGCGTAAAAACATGGTTTTATTCCAAACACTGCAGTGTAGTAGTGGGAGTGGGAAGGAAGGGTCAAGTGTGGGCTCCCAGACCCACCTCTCAATCCAGCCTCAGACCCTGCTGAGACCTGGGAAGGGAGGCCCGGGGGTGGAGTGTCTGCTGGATCATCACTGAAGGGTCATAAATAAGGGCTGGACTTGTGGTCGGTGGCATCTGGGTTGGTAGTGGGGGAGGCAGGTGAAGGGAGGGCTTTCGTGGAGTATAGGTCATAGGTCAGAGACAACAAGGATCTAAAAGGAGGGGTCATCGAAGTCTGACATAAGGGTCACAGTCTGGTCGGGGCACAGTCTGGGGTCAGATGATCATTTTAGGTGTTGGAAGTCACAGTCTGGGGTCAGGGGTTTCTGTGTGGCGGGGCCAAGGTCTGGAGTCACAGTTTGGCGTACTCGTCTCACAGTTTTGAGTCCTGATGAATGAAAGGTTAAAAACAGGCTCCCCGGGAGGTGTGTCTGGGGCCAGGGAGCTGCACAGTGATGTGAGGGCCATGGCCCCGAGAGTGGGCGCGGGGCGCGGCGCGACCCCTCCCCATCTCCCGCCAAATCAGGTGACGTTAAAAAGCCCTTTTCGGGTTTAAAAAAAAGAGTCGGTGGGCTCCAAGAACCCCGCCCCCTTGCTCTCAGGATGGGTGAGATTTGGGCGACCAAGTCCCCTCTGGCTCATGGTTCCCCCAAGGCGAGGGGGCGCAGAACGCTGCTCCAGGCGGGGTGCGGCCAGGTCCGTTTCCGTCCTTCCCAACCCATGTGGGTCCTGTCCACTATAGAGCGCCCCCTCGGGCCGTGGCCTGCGCTGACCGAGAGGGCGGCGGGGGGCCCCCCCGGAGCCGCGTCATACCTCGGACTCCAGGCTGGAGAAGTGCGCAGAGCCCCTGCGCGTGCCCAGGTCCCCGCCCCGGTGTCTCCGGTGCGGTGCAGTGGGCAGCTGCGGCCCCCAGTGCGCAGCGTGCGGGCAGCGGCGCGCGTGGCGCGAGGGCCCGGTGAGCCTGCGTGCGGGGGCCGCCCGTGGGCAGGAGCTCAGGTCCTCGAGCGATCGCGAGGTGGGCGCGGGCGGCGGGATGTCCCAGCCGCCGGCCGCACGCCGGTGTCGGTGGTGGTGCGGCGCGGCGGCGGGCGCACGGTGCGAGGCCCGCGGACGGTGAGGGTGCGGGCGCGGACACCCACAGCGTGCCCGGCGCCTGGGCGGTGGCCCCGCAGCCCAGGGTGGCGGCGGAGGCGCCCACCAGCCGCCGTCTAGGCCGTCGTGCGAGCAGCTGAGGTGGCGCGGCGGCGGTAGCAGCTCCAGGCTGGCGCAGTGGCGGCAGTGCCACGCGGGGCCGCCGCGCGGGGGCAAGTAGTCCCAGCTGCCGGCGCGCCAGCCCCCGAGCTTGTCGACCGACCAGTAGCGGCCGGGCGGTGGCCCGAGGCGCTCGGCGTACGGGTAGGGGAAGTCGGCGAACCACCAGGGCTCCAGGCCGCCGAGCGACGCTCCGCCCAGGCTCTCCGAGTCCTCGGAGTCCGAAGGCGACGGCTCGAGGTCCATGTAGGCGCACGGTGGTGGCGCGGCGCGGCGCGGCGGTGGTGCGGTCGGGGCCCCCGCGCTCGGGCCGCCCGCGCCCCCACCCAGCAGCGGCTGGCTCTCGGGGTCGGAACGCGGCCAGCGCGCGGGCGCAGGAGGGCTCTCGTCCTCGAAAGCCAGGCGGCACAGTGGCGGCCCGACGGCGGCAGCTGCGGCGGCGGGCGGCGCGGGCGGGGATGGGAAGCCCGGGAAGGCGCCGGTGGGGGGCTCGGCCGGCTCCTGGTCGCGCACGATGGCGAAGTAGGAGGGTGGTGGCTTCTGCGGGGGCTGTGTGGCGGATGGGGACAGCGGGCGTCCGGCCGCGCCTCTGGGTGCCGCGCGCGCCTCGCCGAGGCCCAGCCCCTGCGGCTCGATGGGACCGTAATATCGGTGATAGCCGTCGGCCAGCGCTGCGCCCCCCGGAGGCCCCGGGCCCTTAGCCCGGCGCCAGCGGTCGGCGGCTGCACGCTCTCGGGGCACGAAAGGCGCAGGGCCAGGGGGCGGACGCGCGGTGGGGTACGCGGGGCTGGGCAGCGGCTGCGGCGGGGGCGGAGGCTTGGCAGGCGGTGGAGCAGCCTCGGCGCTGCAGCAGCTGTACATGCCCTGTGAGGGGTGGGGACGGGTCAGGCAGGTGCCTGCACCCAACGACCTCCTTCTCCACACTGGACCTGACCCACACCTTCCATTTCTTTGCCCCCTCGCCTCCCGCTGGTGCTTCCCCTGCTTCCACGCTCCCTTTCCTACCCTGGAGAAGGCCAGCAGGAAATCCATGCGGTGGGTGGGCCCCAGGCAATGCCGCAGGCGCCAGTACACCAGATGTTCCCAAGCGAAGACCAGCAAGGAGAGGCCCATGGCCACGAGGAGCATGTAGAAGACACCTGCCATGTTGTCGATATCCAGCTTGCTGCTCATCACCTCGATTTTGTCATTGTGGCAGATCCCGGAAAGCCACAGCCGCTCCAGCATTTCAATCTCATCTGGGGATGGGGGCAGAGTCACTTACTGTGAACAACACACTCTGCTCGGACAGAGCCCCAGCCCCAGCCCATGTTCCCCAGGACAGACGGCCAGCCCTCCCCTCTTCAGGGTAGGACTTCCCGCCCAGCGTAGCCGCACCGTCCCCCAGGAACTGCAGCAGCGCCAGGTCGATGGGCCGCTTCCAGCGGGAGCCCTTGTGTAGGGCGATGCCATATCCAGTGGTGGCGAAGACCTTGCCGGAGCCGATGGTGACCAGCTTGCAGCCCTCATCCTTGCGGGCCATGTAGTTGAGCACTGCTGCATCATAGATGAAAGCGTCCAGTTTCCTGAGGACAGGGACATGTAAGACAGGGTCAGTCTCACTTAGATGACCTCATGGCACTCCAGGAATCCCTTTCACCTCTAACCCACAACTGCTCAGGAGCTCCTGAGCAGGTTCCTCCTGGTGCCTCTTTTCAACATTGGTAAAACGGGCATAATTCTAACACTACCACGCCGAAGCTTTGTCAGAGGTGATAGTGCCTGGCAAAGCGGTTCTGGAGAAAAGGCAGTCATTGTAACTGTCAAGGGAACAGTCTCATAATCCTCATCCTATCTTTCCAAAGACGATACTGTTTTTGTGGTTTTGTTTTTAATGAGAAAAAAAGGCTGGGCAGTCAGTGGTGGCGCATGCCTTTAATCCCAGCACCGGAGTGAGTTTGAGGCCAGCCTGGTCTACAGAGCGGGTTCCAGGATAACCAGGGTTGCACAGAGAAACAAACAAACAAACAAACAAACAAAAAAGGTCCCAGGGGTTGGAGCTCAGAGGCTCATGGTAGCATGAGAGTTCACAACCACTTAGGACTCCACCTCCAGGAGCTCTGATGGCGCCACCTTCTGGCCTCTGCAGGTACCTGTACCTATGTGACATACACTCACATAGACACATAAATTAAAAAATATAAATATTTTTAAAAGGGCTTCCATTTTATTAGTTGTGACACTGGTGGTGGAACCTGGGGCCCTATACGTGCTAGGCCATCACGTTATCATCACTCTACGGCCGAGCCATGCCCCCAGACCCTCACTGGAGGGCACTAGGCAGGTAGGAACCACCTAATAACCACAGCCCAAGCTCTTGCATTATAAAGAGGCTTGAGACTTAGCAGGGGGGGATGGCAGTCACACCAGGGAGTGCTTACATTTTATATGTATTCTACCTATTACTGGTCTGTCAGACCCAATGAGTCATCTGATACCCACAAAATAGATGTCTGACTAAAGCCTTTGTGTCTATTCTTTCCAGAAGGGGGACCAGCCTCGTTTGGGCCCTAAACTGCTAAGCCTTGGTGGGGAGGGAAGTCGGGAAGTAGAGTTACTCCATGGGTGGGGATCAGTGCTATCCTTTACTCCTGATCCCAGGGAGCCGGCACATAGTTGTTCATTCTTAGCCCAGGCATAATTCTGGCACATACAACGAACTTTTTTTTTTTTTTTTTTTTTTTGGTTTTTCGAGACAGGGTTTCTCTGTGTAGCTTTGCGCCTTTCCTGGAACTCACTTGGTAGCCCAGGCTGGCCTCGAACTCACAGAGATCCGCCTGGCTCTGCCTCCTGAGTGCTGGGATTAAAGGCGTGCGCCACCACCGCCTGGCCTTTTTTTTTTTTTTTTTTTGATTCACTTTTGTTTTTTAATGCACGTGAGCATGTTCAGTTGTTTGTAGGTACATACATGCATGTGTGTGGAGGCTGAGGGACGACCTTGGGTGTCACCCTCAGGACCACAGTAGCCTTCTTTGAGACATGGCATCTTTTTTGTTTGTTGCTTTTTGAGAAAAGGTCTTAACTGTGTAGCCCTAGCTGGTCTAGAACTTGCTTTGTGGACCAGGCTAGCCTGAAACTCAGAGATGCGCCTGCCTCTGCCTCCTTAGTGCTGGGATTAAAGGCGTGCGCCTCCATGTCCAGTGAGACATACATTTGATTGGCCTGGAGCTCATCAAAAAGGCTAGACTGTCTGGCCAGAAAGCCTCTCCGATGGCCCTGTCCTGGATTCCCTTGTACTAGTTCCACAACTCCGCGCAGTTTTACATGGCTCTGAGGATTGTTGACTGGGCTGTCACCTCAGCCCCAGTATGACTTTCTTTGGAGACTGGCCTTAAACTTTACATCCTCCTGCCTCAAGCCACTTGAGTATTTGAGAAGACAGGTCAACACCATTAGGCCTGCCCTCTGTGTTTATTCTTTAAATGGTGTAGATACTGGGGTGAACTTTTGGTCACACTTCTTACAGACTCCACATAACTTCTTCTTTTTTTTTTTTTATGGTTTTTCGAGACAGGGTTTCTCTGTGTAGCTTTGCGCCTTTCCTGGAACTCACTTGGTAGCCCAGGCTGGCCTCGAACTCATAGAGATCCGCCTGGCTCTGCCTCCTGAGTGCTGGGATTAAAGGCGTGCGCCGCCACCGCCCGGCTTCCACATAACTTCTAAGAGGGAGGTCCCTCACCTTGTCTAGCATTATCTAAAAACAGTCTGCCATGACAGGATGGACCCTGTGCATGACCATGGTAGCCACAGTCCACACACAGCTCTTGAGAACTTGAAATGTGGCCAGTGTGAGGAAATGGAATTTTAAATATTATTTCCTTGATTTTTTTTTTAAACTAAATACTACTGGGTGGAACAGATATGTGGGAAGGCAATGACTAGAGGCTGGTCCCAGAGACAGGAAGAATCCTCCAGGAAAGAATACTTAACCCCTACTTAACCTGGACTTTCTTTTTTTTTTTTTTTTTTTTTTTTTTTTGGTTTTTCAACGCAAGGTTTCTCAGTGTTGTTTTGGTGGCTGTCCTGGATCTCTCTCTGTAGACCAAACTGGCCTCGAACTCACAGAGATCCACCTGGCTCTGCCTCCAGGGATCAAAGGCATGTGCCACTGCGGTCCGGCTTAACCTTTTTATGTAGTGTGTGTGTGTGTGTGTGTGTGTGTGTGTGTGTGTGTGTGTAAATAAAGGACAGAGCAGAACCTGTCCATGCATTCACTTCTACTGGGGAGACTGACCAAGCAGACTCCTAGAATTGAGGTGATA